AGCCTAAAGCCTCTGGCGGAGGCTTTAGGCTTGGGCCAGAGCACCCCCCGCTCCCTGCCGCTGCCGCCATCAAGCATAGCTGGCTGGCTCCACCTGGTTCCCTGCCGCTGCCGCCATCAATGATCGCTGGATGGCTCAGCCCAGGCCCCAGCCTAAAGCTTCAGTCTGAGGCTTGGGGCTGACATATGCAAATTAGCCGCCATCTTGGCTGTCGACTAATTTGCATATCTCACTGATTAGCAAATGAAAAGGGTAGCGGTCATACGCCAATTACCATCTTTCTCTTTTATTATATAGGATGTCACCCCAATGAACTTTATAAAAAAAGAATCAGAGTAGTGAATTTGCAAAGGCACTTTAAAGCCAGTCTGGAAAAGTACAGAGGCCGATGTCATGTCCTTTTTTTCACTCGTTTACATTCATGACATTTTTTTGGGGGAGGGGGGTTTTATATTGTTTCATTTTAGTGAAGTACTGCTGAATCTTAGATTGAATTTGCTGTTTTATTGTGATTTTTTTAATAGATAACAAGTATTTCAGGTAATATACTGAAGTATAGTGGGGATATTGAAAGTTTAGGGAGGGCATAGAACTTACTGGCTCACCTTCATAAACTGGTACTGAAATAACACATAATCAGATGAAATGAAGTGAACTGCTATTTTTTTTTTAAAAAAAGAGGGGGGGGCAGTGAAAATTTTTATTGGGTAAGATTACATTTTGTAAAAGTATATTATGATCTGATCGTGGGCAGCTTTCTAAATTTCCATTCAAATTCATACTAAATAGCTACTTCCCTAGTATTTAGTGATATGAATTTCATCTAGTATGCCTTGTTGCACCCTCTACATATAGTGCAACAATAACATAGATATGCAGATACTATCTTATTCATTATCAAGTATTGAGAGTAAATGATACCCACTCTTATAACAATTGTAAATGTGACTGTAAAACAGGGAAAACAAGTCACAATCTGAGGAAGAACTAAATGTGCTATTATAAACATCAAATCAAATTATATCATTTATTTAGTAAACATTTATTGGGTGACATTTTATTTTCAACAATAATAGTAGAAGGTTTGTTGAAAACTATTACACACGGAATATTTCTTAGGCTATTTTTGAAGCCTGCATACTAATAAATGTTTATTATATGAATCTGAATTTTACAATAAGACTACATATTGTTTTAAATATGTAAATTGATATAGGTGTGTACTATATGTGTAGGTAATTGATAGAAAGTAGAGTGTTGTTTCCACTTTGCATCTTCTAGAATGAGGTGAGAGTAAGTTAGGGTTTCCACTTTGTTCTCCCACCACCGCACTCACGCAGACATGTGTTAGCGCTAATGAGCATCACTGCTAATTTGTCTGCCTCTCCACTAGTCTGTAAACTCAAGAATATAGAGTCTGGGGTTCTCTCTCTCTCTCTCTCTCTCTCTCTCTCTCTCTCTCTCGTGTTTAAATAAGTCGGTGTATTGCCATATACTGTTTATCCAATACATATTTATTAAAGGAATGAATACATATGTGATAAAAATGAGCCAAATTTTAACAAATGAACAAGCATAAGCCAAGTGGAAAATTATAGGACAGACTCTTTGGAGAATGAGGACTGTGAAGGCATAGATGTCTGTGAAAGAGAATGACACTGTGAATGTGCACGTTAAACTGGAAGAAAATATCTGCAGCTAGATAGCTCAGCCAATGGATACCTGCTCTGTTTCTGTCTATTGTGAAGAATAATACTAATGAAAATACATAAGAATTTGGAACCTTTATTAAAGTCTTTTGTACATGAAAATAGTCTGCTAAAACTATCACTGTAAAACACAAAATGTAAAATTCTATCATTTTAAATTTTTACTGATAGTTCATATATATGGTAACGTAGGACACCTTATTACTCTCACTATTTTTTTCTACACATGCATATATACAGAGAATCTATATTGACTAGCAGAGATGTTTCTGGATTCTAACTGGGCCCATGGCATTTTTAGTGCTCCATCATATTCTGAGTTATCATTCTACTTAAAAATCTGTAGAATTTAATGAAAAATAGGTTTTCCAGTATATAAGTATATTTTTATAGAATAATGGTGATATTATTTATATAACATATATCTATATAACTTATTTAAATAAATATCTAAAAATTAGATACCATCATTTTTAAATTTTCTGATAAAGTTTTATAACTTATATACTAAGGAAAAAAACTGTCAAAATCCTATATAATAAAGAGGTAATATGCAAATTGACCATCACTCCAACACACAAGATGGCCACCCCCATGTGGACACAAGAAGGTCGGCAGAGGAGGGCAGTTATGGGCGATCAGGCCAGCAGGGGAGGGCAGTTGAGAGGGAGCAGGCCTGAAAGGGAGGGCAGTTGTGGGCAATCAGGCCAGCAAGGGAGGGCAGTTGGGGCCAACCAGGCCAGCAAGGGAGGGCAGTTTGGGGCAATAGGCCAGCAGAGGATCAGTTAGGCGTCAATCAGGCTGGCAGGGGAGTGGTTAGGGGGTGATCAGGCTGGCAGGCAGAAGTGGTTAGGGGCAATCAGGCAGGCAGGGAGGTGAGTGGCTGGAAGCCAGCAGTCCTGGATTGCGAGAGGGATGTCCGACTGCCCGTTTAGGTCTGTTCCCACTGGGCCTAAACAGGCAGTTGGACATCCCTCAAGGAGTCCCAGATTGGAGAGGGTGCAGGCTGGGCTGAGAGACACACACCCTGCCCCATGCATGAATTTCATGCACCAGGCCTCTAGTGAAATAAATAAAAGCCAAATTACATTAACTCAGTACTTAAATGTATCATATAAATACAAATAGCATAAAAATAGAGACCATATTTGAAGATACTAGTCTTTTAATAGAGATAATTTTCTAATAAAGAACAAGGTATCATGTTATTTTTGTAAAAAATACAATGAAGAGAAAGCATCATCTCTAAAATATAACACAAATTAATCAATGGCAGTCACAGCTTATGGCAATTCACCTCTTCTATACTGTTGGCAATTCATTTTTAAAAAATATATATTTTTATTGACTTCAGAGAGGAAAGGAGAGGGTGAGAGAGATAGAAACATCAATGATGAAAAAGAATCATTGATCGGCTGCCTCCTGCATGCACCTGACTGGGGTTTGAGCCTGAAACTGGGGCATTTGCCCTTGACTAGAATCAAACCTAAGACCCTTCAGTCCACAAGCCAATGCTCCATCCACCAAGCCAAACCTGCTGGAGTGGCAATTCACTTTTATTTTATTTTATTTTTAATATATATTTTTATTGACTTCAGAGAGGAAAAGAGAGGGAGAGAGAGAGAGAAACATCAATGATGAGAGAGAACCATTGATCAGCTGCCACCTGCACATCCCCTACTAGGGATCAAGCCTGCAACCCAGGCATGCCCCCTTGACCAGAATCGAACCTGGGATCTTTCAGTCCGCAGGCCAACGCTCTATCTACTGAGCCAAACCAGCTGGGCTGGAAATTCACTTTTAATAGTAGTTAGAAGGTTTGCAGAAAACAAATGCTAAGGAAAATTTAGTAATTTTTAAATTACTAAAGCTTATAGCACACTTTAAATTCTAATAAGTACAATAA